GAAGAAGAAGAAGAAGAAGAAGAAGAAGAAGAAGAAGAAGAAGAAGAAGAAGAAGAAGAAGAAGAAGAAGAAGAAGAAAAAGAAGGAGAACAAATAAAAGAAGAAAAAGGAGAAGTAGAAGAAGAAAAAGAAAAAGAAAAAGGAGAAGGCAAAAGAGAAGAAAAAGAAGGAGAAAGAGAAGAAAAAAGAAAAGAAGAAGAAGAAGAAGAAGAAGAAGAAGAAGAAGAAGAAGAAGAAGAATATGAAAAAGGTGAGCTGTTCACAGAAGAGCAAAGACAGATCCAGAAAGAGAAGATAAAGGTCAGGAGTCAGAGAAAACAAGCCCGACATAAAAGAAAACAAGCCAAAAATGAGAAAAGACTAGCACAAGAAGAAGAGAAGCTTGCACAAGAAGAGAGAAAGCTGGCCCAGGAAGAAAGAAAATTGGCCCAAGAATATGTGAAAATGTACCTGAAAGATGAGAAAATGGTCAAGGCAGAGAGTGAATTTGCCCAGAAAGAGGAAAAATTGGCTCAGAGAGAGGAACTACTAAGCCATAATGCAGAGCAATTGGCCCACAAGAGGAAGAAACTTGCTAAGAAATTGGAGAAAACTGCCCATGAGGAAGAGAAACTAGCAAAGAAAAAAGAGAAAGCAATTGAAATAAAAATACTACTGGCCCAGAAAGCAGAAATTCTGAAGCAGAAGGAGCAAAGTCTGAAATGGCAAGAAAATGAACTGGCTGAGGAACTTGAGGAACTGGAAAAGAACATGGAAGACCTCGCTTCAAAAGAAGTTGAACAAGAGAGACTGGTTAAGGAAAAAGACGAACTGGCTCAGGAAGAAAAGTTATTGGCCTCTAGAGGGGAGAGTCTAGCTAACAAACAGAAAAATTTGGCCCAGGAAGAAGACCTACTGATTCAGGAAGAAGAGAAGCTGGCCCAGAAAAACGAAAAAACACCCATGGAAGCAAGAAGATTGTCTCAGAAAAGGCAGAAACTGATAGAGGACAAAGAGAAACTAGCCCAGGAAAGGGGAAAACTAGTGCAGGACAAGAAAGAATTCACACAGAACAAGGAGAGGCTGACCCAGAGGGAAGAGAATCTGGCTCAGAAAAGGAAGAGTTCGGCTCAGGAAAAGGAAAAATTGGCTCAGAAGAAAGAGAATCTCTACCGTGTCAAGGAAGAACTCCTCCAGGAGAGAAAGAAATTAGCTTGGGCAAAGAAGAAAATAGATATGTACAAGGAGGCACTGGTTCAGGTAGAAGAGAAGCTAAAGCAGGAAGAGGAGGAGGTGGTCAAGAAGAAGGAGAAATTTAATGCTGTAGAGAAGAAACTTGTTCAAGCAGGTGGTATTCTGGCTAGAAACCAGGAGAAAGTAGCCCAGAAAAAAATGGAATTGTCTGTAGAGAAGATGGCAGTGCTCCAAGGAAGGAAACTTCCCAGAGATGAGCTGGATGTTTCTAAGGAAGAAAAGACAGTGGGAATGGAATTGAAGATGTTGATCCAAAAGAAGATGAGACTGGATAAGGGGATGGAAATTCTCTCCAAGACTCAAGAAACCCCAGGAAAACCAAAACTGACTAGACAAGAAATAGATGTAATGAAGAAGAGACTGTCACTAGAGGAAAAGATATTAAGATCTAAAGACAGAATTCTGGCCACAGAGGAAAAGGATGTTGCCAAAGAAAAACTGGAATTTACCAGTGAAGAGAGAGTATATGCCAAAGAAGAAAGGAAGTTAACTAAAAGTATAAGGAAGTTGATTAAAGAAGAGAAGGACATTTTTAAGGAGCCAACAAAAATGAGCAGTGTTGCAAAGGCACTTCAAAAACTGATCAGTGATGAAAGGAAAATAATCCAGGAGGAAATAAAGATGACAAAAATAAAGCGGTCACTCGTTATCAAAGAGAGAAGACTGAGCAATGAACAGAGTAGACTTGATAGCAAAGAGTTAAATATTCCTGATCAAGAAATAGAACTTGCCACAGATGAAGAGAAACTGGCTAAGCAGCAGAGAAAATTGGCCAAGAAAATGAGAAATATTAGAAAGCAAGAGGAAAAAATTGCTGAGAAAGAAAGTAGATTGGCCAAGGAACAGAGAGAAATCATACAGGCTGCAGAAGAAGAAAAAATTGAGGAGGAAGAGGAAATCCCATCCCTTAAACGGAAGAGGAGAAAAAGAAAAAAGCCAAAAGAAATTGATATCCTAAAGAGGTACAGAAAAGTGGATGAGATGGAAAGTGAAGAGAGCATTTCTATGGACATAGACATCCTGTTAGAAGAAGTGGAGCCAGAGAGTTTGTCTGAAGAGGAAGAGGAAGAAGAGGAAGAGGAAGAAGAGGAAGAGGAAGAAGAGGAAGAGGAAGAGGAGGAAGAGAGAGAGGAAGGGGAGGAAGAAGAGCTGGAAGAGGGAGAGGAGAGGGAGTATGAGGAGGAAGAAGAGGAAAAAGAGATGGAGGAAGAGGAAGAGGAAAAGGAGGAAAGGCGAAAAAAGAAGGAAAAGAAAAGGAAGGCAAAGGAAAAGAAGAAGAAGAAGAAAAGAAAAGTGGAGGAGGAGGAGGGGGAGGAGGATGAAGGTTCCAAGGAAGAGGAAGAAATCATGAGTGAGGAAGAGCTGAAAGGTTTGAATGAGACACAAGAGGAGAGAAGCTCAGTAGAAGTGGGCAAGGAAAAAGACATCCTAAAAAAAGAAGAACTATTTAAGCTACAAGAAGAGAGAAGAAAGGACCTACAAAGAAGGGGAGTGGTCCCTTCTATTGGAGCAAGATCCATTGGGGTCAAAGGCAGTGGTCTAAAACTGAGAGTTCTAAAAGTCCCTTCCAGACAACCGATCCCAGTACATATGGACATGGGAGGGAAGATACAAATACCACTGCCAGTTCAACAAACATTCTTGGAAGAAGAACCCAAAGCACTCCAGACAGAACCCAAAGCACTGCAGACAGTGAGTATGTTCTCAAAGGTGCAGCTGAAGGATAAAGAAAGAGAACTGTTTGAAAAATATCAACCCACCCCTCTACATGGGCTGGATACAATTGTACTGTCCCAAGAGCAGGACATGAAGACATCATTCATGTCCAGCATATTTAGGAAAACCATGGAGTTTCACAAACTCCAACAGAAACTCCAAGGTGCCAGGCTCAAGTGGGTTTTGCAACGTCATCCACCTCTGAGAGGACGCAGTAAGGTACAACTTCCTCTTGCCCAGATCCTGGCCAAAAAACAACATCCAGAGGTACAGGTAAACCTCTCAGACATAGAATGGATCCACCAGGTCCTAGAACGGATGGAGGCAGGAGAACAGCTTTCCAGAGATAGCTTCCACAGATTGTGTCAGCTCCTCAAAGACCTGACCTCAGAGGGAAACTTAGAGTGGCTACGTCCAGCCATGCTCGAAACCATTGTGCACCATCACTTGCGGACTCTGGAGCCACGAAGCAAAAGGGCCTCAAAGCTCAGTGGGGAACTCAGGACTCCAAAACACCTGAAAGTGATTCCTCCTATAAGGAGAAAGGAAAAGGAAAGTTGGCTAAAACCTTTGACTGTCTCCAAACCATTAGTTTCAAAGACTGATATAGACCCAAAGGCTACAAACTGGCATCTTCTGGGTAAGCCTCGCCAGAGTGCACGGATTCAGCAGTTATCCAGTGCTATCAAAGAAATGGAGATACGACATTTTTGTCCTGTCACAAGAGACCTCTTCACAGGTTCCCATGCCTCTGTGGACAGACAAACGCTGGCACTAATGTTTCAGAAAGACCTTAGGGCCTTTAAGTGTAAGGACAGATTTCCTAAATTGCCCAAGTTAGAGAAGAAGACACAGCCTATCTCACAAAAAAAGGAAAAGGTCCCTCCATGGGAGACATTTGTGGAACTGTATCATGTTTTGAGGATGCTCCAGCAGCGATATGCTAAAGACACTGCTGCTTGGATGGAACAGTTCCATCAGCTCATGGACTTGTACAAGTTCAGGTCCCCCAGAATCCAGAGGCTGCTACAAGATCTACTACTGGGAGAGGAGCCTCGACCCAAACAGATGATCTACAAAGAGGCCCTGCAGGCCACAGAGCTAGTACCTGGGGAACGGGTGTTCTACTGCTTGGTTTGTGGTGGCTCTCACACCCCAAGTCCTCCAGGGTTCCAGAATGTGATACCCCTTCCTGGACAGAACAATGTACATACCTTCCTTCCTGTCGGTATTGCCAAATATGGAATCTTAGAGCTTGCCTGGAAGAGCCTGCCCCAAGCTGATGCTTGCCTCACCAAGGAGCTTCCTCACATCACTGCCACCACTCCCAAATTTGGGACTGGCTAGAGGTCAGAACTTTTCATTCTCAACTGGAGAAAGCTCTACTCATCTGAATCTAGAGCTTCATCTCTAGGGACCAGATCAAAGCCTTTTTCCTATCTAGCTCTGTTTCTGTAATACAATAAAGACAAAGTTCTTTTAGGCAGCAAGCACTTTGATGTGTTTCTTTTCCAAAAACAATTCATGTTTTTTTAGGAAGGTCTCCAGAAATACATGCTTTCACAAGTGGGAAAATGTTCCAGTACCAAGTGGTGTTCAAGTGTGGAGTTCCTGAAGGGTATGTTCTTGTCCTCTTACTTCCTTATCTTCCATCATCACCCCCCAAAAAAACTACAGGAAGGAAAGCAACTGTCACAATACTAATGCACATTTGCATTAATATAAGAAATGGAAAGAGAATGGATTTAAGAACCAGAAGACCCAACATTCTGCCTCCATGGAGACTAATTCCCTGATCATAGCTATGCATGACTTGAGTCCCACATAGTAATTATACTGGGTATTGAGAGCTTTAGAGTAAAGGAAAAAGGTTCACCAAATTCTAGCCAGTACCATCTGGTGAGTTTATCACTGAATCCCATTAAAGAATGAACCCATTTAAAAATGAAAATTAGAGAATCCTGTGCCTTTCATTGCTTTTGCTACTACCTGGACATGGGGTTTGAGAGAGCAATGGAATAAGAATTAAAAAGACTAGATGAAGGCTGAAATAGGTCTCCACTTGTCTAGAAATTTCATATCTTTCCTCACAACAAGAGATAATGTTTAAAGGAAGATGAGTAGTAAAGCAGAGGAAACTGTCATTGCCAGTAATTGTTTTCTCCTTGACCTCTACAGTAGATTCTTCAGAACTGTCTATTTCCATGGAAGCTGAGCTTTCCACCTACTGTGAGCAGCCCATCTTTGCCACTTTCCATTCTCTACCACAACCCCTACTTTGTTATCTAATCCTTGCATCTCTGGATGTGCTTTCCTTTGGGGGGCATCCAGGGATAGAGGGCAGCAGAACATTCTGAGAAGTTAGCGTCATCTCGAAGGCCAAGGCCAATGAGAGCTGTGACTCTGCAGTCGAGCTCTTCCATGTATGGACTGCATGAGCGCTATGCGCTTGGAGCAGGGGGCCTCAAAAAGGACGACTCACCTGAGCACCAGGCAAGGCAGTGAAAGTAAGGAGAGCCCAGCTTGCTTGGTAGCCTTGATCTGAATTATTTCTCGTTTTTGGATGCTGTGTGCTTTCCTGTCAAAAAGAGTATAACGTTCACTAAAAATATCAGGAGTGAAGGAGGGGATATTACTGAAGATCCTAAAATCACCTAAAAGATAAACATTATTTTTTTTAAAGTTTTATTGATTAAACATTATTTTTAAAAAACCTCTTATGCCCATATATTTGACAACATAGATGAAATTAATAAACTTGAAAGATTCTGAAGCAAATAGCAATGCCTAGCTGATTCATTTGTTGGATCTACCATCCATATTAAAAATTTATTGGTTGACTTAATAATGTCCTTATAGCCTTCTTTTCCCTTCAATTACAGGAGTCAGCTTAAAGTCAGGGTACAGTGACCCCCCCTGGTAAAAGTAAATCCCAGTGATTTGTCTATTGATATCTCAGATTCAAAAAGAGTATATATGACCGTTCAGTGGCCTCAGAGACTAGGTACTTGCTGTGACAATCCAAATCTACTTGTCACATTTGATTACTATGCTTCCTAGGTAAGACACTTTCATTCTTGAACAAATACATTCTCTATCTCCATCCCTATTTTTCATGTCATGTGTTTGTTAAGAATATAGAATTAGTCATCTTTTTCCATGTTTTGGATTTTTCTGATAGAGTACAGTTTCATAAATTAAGGTCTTAGCCAGGGTATATAAGCCTTCTGAAATTAAATGAAAAAACTGTTAGTGTGTGGCACACACTTTTTTCTCTTGCTGGGCAAAGTCTACAGCATTCATTAGATTCTTAAGGGGACACACATTAAATCACAACTTAAAGAGCAGAGTCATCTGGGATTTTGCAGAGGCACTACCAATATTCAGCTGAATGAATTTCAATAAGTAATTACCTTTGTTAGACCTTTGCTTTTTAGTTTTAAGACAGAGAGAGAAAGAGGGGCAGTGAGAGAGAGGGGG